GAGCACTTCATCCTACCTGCCAGACACACAATGAAAAGCAGTTCAGTTCAGTGAAGTCCCTTTGCAATAACCGTTGCTTGTTTTTGCCTTAGGGAAGTCAATCTCTTCCCTTAGTCAGTTTTAGAAGGCTGCTTATTTCCTGAATTGATCCCAGAGTGGAGAGACAGCATATGTAGAGAGGTAACAGAAACACTTCCTGGCAAAAGACTCTTTGGAGAGCTAGGAATAAATGTCAGAAGGCAGGAGAGGGAGACAGGTAAAGTGTCCCCAAAATAAGCAGTTTGAGGAAGTAATTATATGCATCAAAGTTCTAGGGAAATATTCATGCCTTCTTAATATTGTTAAATGCCATTGAGTTGGTTCAGACTCATACCTGTAGAGGATTTCTGAGAAACGGTTGGTGGGTTTGAATCATCTACCTTTTGGTTAGCAGTCCAGTGCTAATCCTACAGCACCACACCAGAACAGATCAACTAGATTGAGGAATTGGGAGAAAGATAAGGCCTTTGGCTTCTACAAAGATTTACAGCCTGGGAAGCCCTATACAGGGTAGCTATGGCACTTAACAACAACATATTGAGGAATAATTTACATATAGTAAAATATATCATTTAAAGTGTAGTTTAATGTGTTTGTAAATATATTCAGTTTTGTACTATGCCTAGAAAGGACCTTGTGCCCTTTTAGACAATTTCCTCCTTACTCATCTATTGGTAAACATAAAGCTATTTTGTTTCACAAAGAAAGCTATCACTATTGTGTACACGTATTTGTGTGAATCACTGAAGCATATGATAAATGTATATGACTGCATAGGAAATTGCTGGACTGCCAGGTTTTCCAAAATGGTTGAATCATTTTTTTCTGTGACCTTTTCATGCTGTTATTATGAATTCTTCTGGGGTAATTAAAAATTCATGGAAACTTGACTTTTTCTCTTGAAGGGAAGACTCTGGGACATAGCCATGAATAAACTGGTAACTAGAGATGGCAACATTCACATATTGTCCAGATGCTGGGCATAATCGTTGAAAGTATTATGAAAGGTATTCTCATAGTTTGTTACTGAAGAGACACTACTGGGAAATCAAGTGGGAAGCAGGCAGGGTCAGAGACAGACTCTCCACACACCTTCAGAGAGCTGGACACAAAAAGAATGGAGATCAGACAAAGGTCCTATTTTCCACATGTTTCTTACTTCTCAAAAATCAATGGAAATTCTCATTGAAGGAAAGTCCCATATTGATGCATTTTTCCCAGGAATAGTTTGTAACAGGACTCCTACATTTATTTTACTTAATACAAAGTGCCTGGTTAAGATGGTGCTGCTTTCCCGAAAGCAAAGTCTCTCTCATTACACACCAACAAAGGCTCGACTGAGACAGCTTTAGGGACACACTCCTAATATACGGTTTCCTGTATAGAGTTTCTGCGGAGCAGGTGGTGGGTTTGAATTGCCGACCTGTGGTTTGCAGTCCAGTGCTGATCCTACAGTACAGAGGCAGCCACTATATATTTACAGTCTTGGGTTTATTTCCTCTTCAAAATTAGAGTGAAACCAGCAGTTCATTGACATGGTTCTTCCTTCAACAAAGCTGCAGAGTGCAGTCCCTTACTTCTTGAAGCTTCAGTTTCTTCACTTCTAATGAATAAGTAATAACATCTCATTTATTTAAGTGTGAGGATTAAAATGATGAATTCAAAGCATGTAATATATATCTGTAAGTCAAAAAGTATTTCTACAAAATCATGCTGCTATTGTTAAGTCAGTTCCAACTCAAACCACACCTGTTATCAAATTTCCAAGGTTGCTTTCAACTACTGATCTTGCATTTAGCAGTCCAGAGCTTTTCCTACAGAGCCACACCAGGGCTCCAAAAAAATCATAGAAATGTTTATTAAATAAAAATGTCAAAAATGAAACTATTGTACACACTTCTGAAGGGGGTGCTACCATCTAATTCTCCCCCAAAGAAATCTGCGCTCTTTGATTTTCCACCATGTCAAAATAGTAGGTTTGGCATCCTTGAGGCATTCAAATTATATCCCTTTTCAAGGTCCTTTGAGTTTGGGGAACAAAAAGAAGTCTGAAGGGTCAAGATCAGGACTGAAGAGTGGGGTAAGGTTTCCCAATTAAGTTTTCCTAGAACAGCCCTTGCTACCCTAGAATGATGAGCTAGTGCACTGTGACATATTGGAGTGTCCTGGTGTGGTAGGCTAATGCGCTGGACTGCAAAGTCAGTTTGAACTGCAAGGTCAATGGTTCAAGCTTATCAGCTGCTCCTCAGAAACCCTATACAGGGTTGCTATGAGTTGGAGCCAACTCAATGGCACTTAACTATACATATATATCTATGATCTCCTTAAGGAGAGCCTGGGTAACTTCTAAGGCTTTCTCTGTCATAGTAGGAAAGGCCTGTAAGCAACCAGTAGATGTGTCAACCATGACTTAATAGGTATTTGTAGCCTTGGGATCAATTCATCACAGTAAAGTCCATTTACTAATCCTCTCTGGGAGAAGTTCCTCCCCTTTGAATAGGCTGTAGTAATGGCAGGGGTCTTACCCTGAGGTAACAACCCTGAGGGTTGTTTTGGGTTAAGGTGGTACACTTTCAGGTCACTTGTTCAATTATTTTCCCTGCATGTCTAATGATAGCTATTTTATTAATAGTCTTTGTGACTCGGCTCCTGTGTGAAAAGGCTTGATGGAAGTTATTCACAAACTTCCAGACAAGGGTCCCAGGAAAAAATGTCTTTCCCTGGAATTCTCACCAGCTGAGGGAATTAAGGTTATAACCCTGCTCTTTGGTCCATTGTTCTTCTTCAGCAGTGCAAGGAGGCTTACTCCCACTCACTTCTAGGCCAGGAAGTAATGCTAATTTTAATGTCCCCTAGTTGAAAGGGTCATATTAATCTTAAGAATATCAGCCTCCCAAAATGACAACAGGCTGAATGAAATTCACAGCACAAATTACTCAGGGTTTAGTCTCAGCCCTAGGAATTACATATTACCTACATACTCATGGAGGCCTCAGGCATCTGGCAAGGTCAAAAGGGCTAACTAGACCCTCAAGAGAACATTAGCCAGATTATGCCAAGAAACCAAAACCGACTGGATGTGGAGTCTACCAGTTGCCCTCATTAGGATCAGAGGCAGTCGTAATGGGACGATTGGGTTAAGGCCCTTTTAAACTAAGGTGTATCCTTTTCAACATCATTATTCAATCTGTATACTGAGCAAGGAAATCAAGAAGCTGGACTATATTGGGAAAAACGCTGTATCAGGATTGAAGCAAGACTCATTAACAACCTGCAATATGCAAATTACACAATCTTGCTTGCTGAACGTGAAGTAGACTTGAAGCACTTACTGATGAAAATCAAAGACTACAGACTTATGGAGAAAAGATTGAAGTTTAAAGGATTTCATTTTACCTAGATTCATAACCAATGTCCATGAATGAAATGATGTGTTTCATGGGGCAAATGTGCTGCAAAAGACCTCTTTAAAGTGTTAAAGAGCAAAGATGTTACTTTGAGGTCTAAGGTGCAACTTACCATAGCCATAGTATTTTCAACCACCTTATATGCATGTGAAAGCAAGACAATGCATAAGAAAGACCAAATAAGAATTGATACCTTTGAATTATGGGGTTGGTGAAGAATGCTGACTATAACATGGACTGTGAGAAAAATGAGAAAATCTGTCTTGGAAGAAGTACAGCCAGAATGTTCCTTAGAAGTGAGGATGGCTGTACTTCATATTATGTATATGTATATGTAATCAGGAGGGATGTCATTGTGAAACACATCAGGTTTGAGGAAATCCCTCAAAGGGATGAACTGACATAGTGGCTACAACAGTGGGTTTAAATATAGCAATGAAATAGGAGGATGGAGCAGGTCCAGGCAGTGTTTATTCTGTTGATCCAGTGTTGCTATGAATCAGAACTGACTCAATGGTACTTCACAACCACCATCACCATCATGCCTAGACGCAAGCAAATTATCCCAATATCCAAACATAAAGCAAGCATGGATTTCTCCAAAATAACTGAAGAATTTATTTATTTCTTTCCCACCCTCCCAAAATCTTAGAAGATGGTTTATAAATAGATATTTGGTAAACTGGTGGGACATTAGCAATTCAGGTGGAATAAAAAAAATAACGTAAACCACTGTATAAAGTTCCAGAAACACTTTATTTAAAAATGGAGTTGAAAATGCATAACAAAATAACCTAAGTAATAAATGTAACAAAAATAAATAAGGAGAATAATGTATTCATACAAAATAAAAATAACATAGTAAAAGGCCAAATGTTTACCAAGGAACAAAACTGTGTAAACACTTAAACAATAATGTAAGTAGATTCTAGTATGTTCTTAAACAACTCCTTACCTTCTACTTCCATGTGGATATAATCCGTACCCAAACATTAAATAAAAAAGAGAATAATGGTGATTATTTTGTTTGACTTTTTAGAAAATGGATTGACCCTGTTTCAATATTTTAGTTTTTCTTTCCTTCAACACATTTTTATCTTTCCATTCATGTTCATTAAAACATTTTTTCAATCTTCCTTTATTAGATAAAGTGGGGGAATTTAGTTTTAACAGAAGAAAATTCATTTACTTTTTTTCATTTTCTTTTAAGTTAAAGAAATATATGAGATCCATTATACAACAGATTTTTGTTTTTACATCTCTACAAAAAAAAAAAAAGTTTTTTTGCATCTTTATTTACTGGTCCTATAGTTCAGGATTTTAGAAATCCTATAAAGTTTTGAAATGTACAGAATTAATTTGTTTCTTGAACAAATGTAGCTCAGGATATATGCTGAAATATTAAAGACCATTTCATAGAAGTTGCAGTTTTAACCTTTATTATAGACTGATGGGATCAGGGGGAAAATCCTGGTCCTGCTAATAATATTTAACTGAATTAAGATTCATCCAAATTAAGTGTTCTGGAAACACAAAGATAATGACTTTCTTATTAAACTTATCCAAATGTGAACTTAAGGGAAAGAAAAAAACAAGTCTGTAGAAGATTATTTTCATAGGTTTTCTGTTAAGTAACATAGGCTCAAAGCCGTTGTCATTGCCATATTTTAGAGTTGTGATAAATGGGTAAGACTTAGGAATTACTTTTGGGGGACTATAGGGAAACACACAAGCAATTTATTGCTTGAGGGTGAAACTATCAACTAATCTTATGACAATTGTTCTCTGAGTCTCCTAAGAAAGAAAATTTTAACCTCATGATCATTTCAAGGGATTTTTTTTTTTTCCAACTGTCACATATAAACTTGGCAACACAGGACCAATATACATGTTCTTGGTTTAAAAAATATACTCCACCTAAACGATATGTCTAGTTTAATCTTTCTAATTATTATTTGACCTAAAATGAGACAAAATCGTATTTTAATTAAAAATAAAAAAAAGGAAAAAAGTGCCAAATTGATCTTTTTGAAAGTGGAGTAAAACACTGTGGGGTTAAAACAAACACAGTATTAGCAATTTCCTATGTACAAAGAAAGATAATTAGTCCTTACTGAGATATAGATATGTCCACCTACCACTGCCACTAAATGTTAGTGCAAACATAATAATTAATTTCCGTAAAACCCAAGACAATTTATGTAGCAACAAAGTTTATAAATCACATATATGTTGGAAAATTTTAGGACACAAGAATGAATGTTTTGAAAGGCCTGTTTTACTGTGAAGAGTAATATGTCACTGTATCTCAATGGAAATGAATACTACTGTAAATCCTATAATTAAGAAACCAATATAACTGCTTAACAAATCTGTACAGATGAAGTCCATTTCAGGGAACAGCTTGGCACAGGAGATACAGGGTTTCGGAAATGTTGGTACTTAGTTTGCTTGTAGGTCACAGCATGGCTTAAAAACAAAAACAAACAAACAAACAAAAACAAAGATCTATGAAGGAAAAGGATTCAATTATAGAGTTCAATTTGAAAGTCATAAAACCACAGAAGGCAAAAGTGCCACGTCAGCTTTTTCCTATATGTGCATCAAATGGCTATCTAAATATCTTGAGAGTATTAATATGATACCACATTATAGAAAAAAGCAAATAAATAAAATTAAGAAGACAGGGATTACAAAATGGTAGTTGACCAAGCTGTCTTGTTTTGTGTAAGTCAACACTGTGCTGCTTCCAATATTCCTAGTCATTCCACAGGCAATTCGTTTTTTAACAATCAAGAGAACGTCATTCATGTACTGTAACATCTTCCTCTTCCCCATCAGGGTTGAACCTATTGAAATGTATACTGAAATCAGCTTCAGATTCGGCATTCTCAAACTCAGCTGAGACAGATATAGCAGCAGGATGAAGAGCCCTAGCTTCTGGTTGGCAAAGTGTTGGTGTCTGACCAGAGTTGCTGTGGTTATTCACAGGACTGGACTTCTGTTTTGGCGGAGATGGCAAGATAGCATTGGGAAATCCCATGTTATTCAGAGCCTCCAAAGTCCCATCTGGGTCAATCATAGCATTGATTGCTGAAAGAAAAGAAAAGAGAAAGGAGTTGGGGGGTGGGTGGGTGGGGGTAAGGGGGAGAATGTAATTCTAAACAAAGTTACATTTGGATATGAACACTGTTGTGATGATTTTGATAATAGCTCAACATTTGGGACTTAAGTAATCTTAAAATTAGCAAATCCTTCCCATACTGTATCTAAAACTCTATTCTTAATGATCATATGCCTAACCCAAAGTATACCTTATACAAACCTGAATGCTTTGCCTACTCATTTTGATAGACTCACTGATGGGAATTCAGAACCTATTACAAGACTGGGATTTGTAGATGTGACATTCAAAACATACCTTTTTGAAATTTGCTTTCATTAATGTGAAAAACCAGTGGAAATATTGGTTATGATTTAAATAACTACTTCTAGACCTTTTTATCCCTCAGATAACTGAGGGGTTAGTTGCTAAGATGAGGTTCAGGGTTACCTAAGGTTGGGGAGACTTGAGCGATACTGACATAATATGAATGCTTATACAGCATGTTGCTGTTCACCTTGGAGAAAAGGCTAGGACATCAGCCATATTCAAGTGCATATGCATCACAGAGCCATAAGGGTTCCCTCGTAGCCTAGGCACTAAGACCCTGTGGAAGTCCCCAAAAGTCAAACAAACTTTGTTATCTTCCTGGGAGGGGTCAGTTAAACATCAGCTTTTAATCCAAAAGATACTTTGTGGGATGGAAAAAGTTGCTAGGCAGTGATTTTCAACTTGGCATTGGGTAGGGTGGGGATGTGGGAAATGCACACACTCCAGTTATCATTCAGTTATCAATCATTCAGGAGGTCCTTTTAAAAGGACAGGAGCCCTGGTGGCACTGTAAGATAAGCACTGGACTGATAACCACATGGTTGGCAGTGCAAACCCATCAGTTCATCTGCAGGAGAAAGATGAGGCTTTCTACTCCTGTAAAGATTTGCAGCCTCAGAAACAATATACAGGGTAGCTATGAATCAGACTTGACTCCAAGACAGTGGGGTTAAATGTACAGTCCTATTCTACCAGCTAACAGTGCATTCTGTTAGCAAGCTACTTTAACTCATGGAAATATTTACCCTCAGATGTGCTGAGACAGAGAAAAAAAAGAGTAACTTAGGCAAGATCCATATATTATGCTGATTATCAATTAGGAAAAGAAGACTAGCATGTGACTCTGGAAGGTTCTTGTTGTACCACTTAGGCCATTTCTAGGCCAAGACATAGAGCCCTTCATGCAAGATCTAGATCTTGCATTGTCCTTGGCAAAGTTTAGGAGGAAAAAGTTTCTTTTATTCTCTTCTCTCCATATGAGTCTGTTTCTCATGGCCAATATGCATTTATTTCTTGTGGCTCATCCAATTAACCATGATTTGTAATAGAGTGTGAGTCTATTTGGGGTCTGTCAGTTTGTCATAGTGTGGTGGCTTTCATGTTGTTGTGATGCTGGAAGGTAGGTCACCAGTATTTCAAAGACCAGCAGGGTTGCCAATGGTGAATAGACTACAAAGAAGGAAGAGGTGGTATAGTTCTAAAAAAAATTAGGCACGGAGAAACTTATGTATACCAATAGAACATTGTCTGACATAGTAGCTTGAAATGAGCCTGTCAGGTTGAAAAGCACTAAAATACTATTGGGGAAGAGCTACTACCTCAAAGTAGGACCAACCTTAATGTAGACAGAATAAAGCTTTCAGGACCTTCATTTGCTGATGTAGCACAACTCAAAAGAAGAAGAAAACATCTGTAAACATCCATTAATTTTGCAACAAGAAATGTGCAAAGCAAGAATCTAGGAAATTTGGAAGCTGTCAAAAATGAAATGGAACACATAAGTTTGTTGTGCTAGGCATTAGTGAGCTGCAAAGGAGCCCTGGTAACATACTGGGATACACACAATTTCATAAATCCTTGGGAGCAGTTCTACTCTGTCCTATGAGTCGGAACTGACTCAACAGCAGTGAGATGAAATGGACTAGTATTTGTTCACTGTGAGTCAGACAATCATACAGTCTTTTATGATGGGAACGAATTTCACCATCAATGCGAACATTTCAAGATCAATCCTGAAGTACAATGTCTTCACTGATAAGATAATATCCATATACCTATAAGGCAGACCACTTGATAAGGCTATTATTTAAATGTGCACACCAACCACTATGCCAAAGATGAAGAAATTGAACATTTTTATCAACTTCTGCAGTCTGAAAGTGATCAAACATGCACTCAAGATGCAGTGATAATTACTGGTGGTTGGAAAGCAAAAGTTTGATACAAAGATGCATCATTAGTTAGAAAATATAGGTTGGTGAAAACAACAATGCTGGAGGTCACATGATAGAATTTTGTAAGATCAATGACTTATTCATTGCAAACACCTTTTTTTTTTTTAAAGCAACATAAATGGCAATTACACACATGGAACTCGGCAGATGGAAAACACAGGAATCAACTAGACTACATCTGTGGGAAGAGATGGTAGAAAAGCTCAATCTCATCAGGCAAAACAAGGTCAGGGCCTGACTGTAGAATAAACCATCAACTGCTCACATGCAAGTTCAAGCTGAAGCTGAAAAAAAAATTAAGTCCACGATAGCCAAAATATGACCTTGAGAACATCCCATCTGAATTTAGGAACCATCTCAGGAACAGATTTCATGCATTTAACATTAATGACCCAAAGACCAGAACAATTATGGGATAATATCAAAGACATCATACATGAAGAAAAAAAAGGTCATTAAAAAGACAGGAAAGGAAGAAAAGACCAAAATAAATATCACAAGAGGTTCTGAAACTGGCTCTTGAATGTACAGAAGCTAAAGCGAAAGGAAGAAATGATAAAAGAGCTGAACAGAAGATTTCAAAGGGTGATTTGAGAAGACAAAGTATTACAATGAAATGTGCAAATAGCTGGAGTTAGAAAACTAAAAGGGAAGTACATGCTTGACATTTTTCAAGCTGAAAGAAGTAAAGAAAAAAAATCAAATCTCAAGTGGTAATATTGAAGAAGTCTACTACTAGCAAAATTGAAGGAGTCTACTAAGAGTCCTGGTATGACACTGTGGGTTAATGCGTCAGACTGCGAATCATTTGTACTGTAAGGTCAGTGGTTCAAGCTCACCAGCTTCTTCTTGGAAACCCTATACAGGGTCGCTATGGGTCGGAATTGACTTGACGGCACTTAACAACAACAACTAGCAAAATACTAAATGACATATTTACAAAAGAAGATGTTATCAAAATGTTATAAAAAATAACTGGTTGATGTTCACCCATTTCAAGAGGTAGCATATGATTAAAAAAAACTGATGGTATTTAAGGAAGTTCAAGCTATACTGAAAACCAAGGATCTGGGAATTTATAGAATACTAATTGAAATGCTATCAATGCTTTTAATACAAAATGCATGCTGTGTTGGAGCTGCTCAATCATCTATGCCAAGTCATTTGGAAGATCCAGCCAAACCAACTGGAAGAGCTTCATATTCATGACCATTCCACAGAAAGGTTATCTAAGAGAATGCAGAAATTATTGAACAGTATCATCAATATCACACACAAGTAAGATTTTGAGGAAGGTCATTTGAAAAGTGTTGCAGCAGTACATTAACAAGGACTTGCCATATATTCAAGTCAGATTCAGAAGAAGATACAGAACAAGGGATATCACTGCTGATGTCAGATGGATCTGGCTAAAAGAGAATATTAAAAAAAATGACTATTTGTATTTCATTGATTATGCAAATACATTTTGACTGTGAGGATCATAACAGATTGTGGATAACACTGCAACAAACAAACAAACCAGGAATTCCAGAACAGTTAATTGTGCTTATTCAGACCCTATAACTAGACCAAGAGGCAACAGTTTGAATAGAACAAGGGGATACTGATTGGTTACAAATCAGGAAAGGTGTACATCAGAATTACATCCTTTCATGATACTTATTAAATCTGCATGCTGAGCAAATAATCCAAGAATTTGTACTGTCTGAAAAAGAATAAGGCATCAGAACTGGAGGAAGACTTCTTAATAACCTGACTTAACAACCTTGACTGTTTTAAGTAAAGAGGACTTAAAATACTTACCAAAGAATATCTGACTTACAGTCTTCAGTATGATTGTATAGTAACATAAAGAAAACAAAAATTCTCACTACTGGACCAATAAGTAACATCATGGTAAATAGAGAAAAAGATTGAAGCTTTCCAGGATTTCAGGTTAATTGGATTCATAATCAATGTCCACAAAAGCAGCAGTCAGGGAATCAAAAGACGAATTACACTGGTCAAATCTATTGCAGAAGATCTCTTAAAGTTATTATTAAGAAAATAAAGATGTCACTTTGAAGACTAACATGGCCCTAAACCACACCATGGTATTTTCAATTGCCTCATATGCATGTGAAAGCCAGACAATGAACAAGGAAGACTGAAGAAGAATTGATACCTCTGAATTATGGTGTTGCTGAGGAATATGAAATATATCATGAAATATCAGGAGACTAAATCTGTCATGAATGAAGTACAGCCAGAATGCTCTTAAAAGTATACTTTGGGCATATTATCAGGAGGGAACAGTGTCTGGAGAAGAACATCATGCTTGGTAAGTAGAGGGTCAGTGAAAATGAGGAAGGCATTCAGCGAGGCAGATTGATACAGTGGCTGCAACACTGAGATCAAGCACAGCAAAGATGGTGAGGATGGTACAGGACCAGGTAGGGTTTCTTTCTTTTCTACATAGTTTTGCTATGAGTGGGAACAAACTAGATGACACCTAAAAACAACAATAACACATTCCAAATATTAAGGTTTTTTTTAAAAAAAACAATTAAAATAAGGCATGAATAATGTATATGTATTTTTACAATAGAGACAGCAGGTTTCATAAAATAAAAATTTCAACTGCATACTTTAAGAGGAAGACCCACAACAAGATAGAATGGCACAGTAGCAGCAGAAATGGGCTCAAGTGTTACAACTATTGTGAGGATGGCATGGGATCAGGCAGTGTTTCATTCTTATGAGTTAGAACTGATTGAACAGAAGCTAACAACAATCGAATATTCTGACTTAGAACATCTAACCTATTCTAAATATGTGGTTGTTAAGTGTCGAGTAGATTCTGACTTACAGCAACCCTGAATAGGGTTTCCAAGGAACAGATAGTGTGTCTGAACTGTTGATCTTGTGGTTTGTAGTCCAGTGCTAATTCTACAGTGCCATACCAGGAGTCCAGATATAAGCACTAAAATATGCATCAAGTTTAACTTTACTATATCTTTAATTCTTCATATTGGGCTTTAAAACTTCTTTTTAATGAGTAATTTGGATATGTAGAACTCTAGAAAAAGTTTGTGGAAAAATGGAATTAAAAGATAATTACCTATACATAACTTGCAGCATCATAGCAACATGCTATCCACCACAGTATGGCAAACTGACAGATGAGTAGTGGGGCAATTTAGGATAAATGTTCCTAAGTGGTATTTCTTACAACACTCTTATTATCAGTATATCATTTGATTAAATGTAATGACATGTACATAGAAATATGAGGGGACTTCTTCCAGTACTCGTCTTGTCAGTCTGTCATAATGTGGTGGCGTGTGTATTGCTGTGATGATGGAAATTACGCTGCGGGTATTTTAAATACCATCAGGGTCACCCATGGTGGACAGGTTTCAGCTGAGTTTCCAGACTAAGACAGACTAGGGAGGAGGAGAGGACTACTTGTATATGGTTACCCACAGAAAACCTTGTGAATAGCAGGGGAACATAGTCAGATAGTGCTAGATATGAGCTCCTCAGGCTGGTATGCCCTCAAAATGTGGGGAAAAGCTGCCTCCTCAAAATGGATTGACACAGAGGCAGCAGCAAAGGGTTAAAACGTAACAACTGTGAGGATGGCACAGGTCGGAGCAGTGTTTCATTCTGTTTTCGCGTCATACCTAACAAGAGCAATAAATTGCTAGCAATTTATACTTTGTTCAGAAATAAGTTTACCTTGCAGCTGCTTTTCAACTCTTTTCAGTTCTTGCAAGATAGAAGAAATCTCCTGCAAGGAAAAGTAATGACAAAAATTAGCTAACTTTAATAAAAACATTTTTATTTAACAATGAATCTCACTCTCATTTTATTCATGACACTTAACATTATCTACATGGTAGAATGGGTTTCAAAACATTCATGAAAAAGGGGAGTTGGATTATTAATAGAATTTACATTAGTACTAACATTATAAAATGATATGCAATCAATAAAACTCAAAATTTTAAATCTTAAATGTTGATAAAGGTAAACGTTTTGTAGCAAAAGGAAGGGAGTAATTAACTTTGAACTCTAGGAGCGGAGGTCCCTGGGACCATCAAGCGAGAAGAGCAGAGAGCGGGACCCTACCCAGAGAAACAGTGATGCCAGAGATGGAGGCAAAGATGATGATGTGGAGAGATGGAGCGGCTGGGGACTCTAGACCCAGAGAGGGAGAGGAGTTGTGTGCTGATGACTGGGGGGCAGGCTTGCAGACTTGCAACCCCTTGGTTGGTTAATGATGCATGGAGGGGATTGTAACCATAGCAATGAAATGATATACAATAGGATGAATGTAAAGCTAATGTTCTTCCATGTAAACTATCACATAATTCATAATAAAACATTAAATAATAATAATTATTATTATTTCCCATGGAAAAAAAAATACTAGTAAGATAATTTACTACTAGCATGACCAAATGTTTTAGAAAATCTCTTGTAACAATGTTATAAGATTTCTTTGGAAAACCATGTATAAACTGAAACCTTAGTACTTGGATGATTCTGAGCAATAAAAAAATATTCAGATATTTGAAGAGGAGATAAGCATTCCATTAAGTACCTAAAAACAAGTTATACTAACTGAATATCTGCATTTGGCTCTTATTTCAAATTGTATATTTATAATGTATAACTGTGTAAATGTCTAACTATGTACAAGGACAAGAATGAATAATAGTGAGAAAAACAAAAGTTCCTCCCCCCTTGATATTCTTTGCAACTTTGAAGCAATCAGTATTTTAAAGTCCTGTGAGAGAGGTGAAGGCATAAAATTTCTCAAATTTGTGCTTTTATTTATGTTTCATTCTATAAATAAAAAGTTTTAAAAATAAAAATATAAGCATGCAATCTTTTCCTTGAAATAAAAGCCATGATATAAAATGTTTTAATCTTCAAGAAAAATTTCCATACCATACTTGAAGTTTTCACAATAGGGACTTCACTTTCAGTTCTTAACTTGTTTTCTATTTCATCCCAATTCCGGTCTTTATCTTTAAATAATATTCTATAAATGAATAAATATAAACAAGTTACTTTTCATAGTTTAAAAACATATCAAGACATCATTGCTAATTATAATACTAAAAGGAATGTATTTTAGAAATTAAAAAAGGAAAACACAAAACAGAAACCTAAGCATTAATAATAAAGCCATGTATGTGAGATCTGTATTAAAAATAAAAGTAATAACTAGGACATGCATAAACTCTTTACTATTTACCTCATTCTTTAATGAAAACCAAAAAGGAATATAGATAAATATATAACCCTAAAGTTTAATATAATATTTTAAATTAAAAATATAACCAACTACAACTTTACTCAGATATATGTAATAAAAACCTAAAATGAAATTAAGATGAATTAGGTATGAACAACTATGTCTGTTAAATCTTACAAAGAAAAAGTATCATGTTGACTGAAAAAGATGTGCAAATTTTTTAAAAGTTGAAAATCAGAGTACTTACCGTGCTTTGCTTTAAAAACTTTAATTCATAAAAATATATTTGTTAGTAGTAATCTATCAAGAATTAAAATGCTATCCTTTTGGTAAAAACGATTGCCAGTAAAGATCATTATATATGTTAGAAAAAAAATTCAAATATCCTAATATATAATAAAGAAGTATCATAGAACTTTGTTCTTTGAATGTGATATACTTTCCCCCACATATTTTGGAATTTATAAGACATGATTCAGCTGTTTTAGGCAGATGTAAATTCTAGTCACTTTTTAGGGATTTTAAAAAATGTTTTATTGCATCTGGAAATCCAGTTTAACTACCTTATGTAAAGAAATACTGTACAACATTAAGAAAGCAAGTAATCACCACTGAAAGTTGGTCAATAAGTAGTAAACTAAATTAACATTCTTATTTGTAGTTCTTCAAAGGTCAGTATGCAGGTTCACCTAATTTAGAAACATGGAATTCATCAATGTATCAAGTCTGGAGCCTGCTTAAAAATATAATAATAGCATGAGACCATGGCAATGAGACGATATACGATAGAATGAATGTAAAACTAATGTTCTCCCATGTAAA